ATAATACGATTTATCGATTCATTTTGCACATTTCATGAAATATCTAATTAACTACTGTTTACACAAAACAAAGTGAAAAAACTGAACTGAGAGAGTTATCCAACAAAAATAAGTACATAATTGACGCATACATAAATGCTTCACTACAAAATAATATTTTTTATAACTGGAAAATTATGATAAATTAAAAAACAAAACAAACCTTCGTACGACCAATGAAACGGATAGCGTAATGCTGCTATTTCTAAAAAAAAATATTATAAGATAAAAGTATGGATAATATTATAATTATTAATTTAAATAACGACTTACCTGTGTACAAGAGAATAGTTACAAGATAGTTTGTCATTGTTATAGATGACAAAGTGGCAGATATCTCCTACCGATTGGTGGTCAACGACTCAACTATCGTGAGTACGAGAGTTTACAAAACAACATTCCAATTGAAAGAAAACATATTTGTTATTAAAATAAATATGCATGCTACGTAGCGGGATCAATTTACTTAATAATTAAGAAGTGTAAGTTATTAGTGTTTTTAGGTTATATTTTATTGAAATATTTCAAAATCAATTCTCACATTTTTATGGAAGGCTCTTAGCGTTTTAAATTGTATGGTTGAAACCCCTACCTTGTAGCATACAGCCCTTCAATCGAGTGCGCTCAGGCGTCGAATTTAACACCCTTTACCATGCACCCTTCCCCTATCGAGTCTATCAATAAAATGTGTTGTGTCCTCATACATGAATTCCAATCCAAAGTGAAGCGAGATTTTTAAGGGAAATTGCTTACAGAAGTGTAATTCAAAACCAACTCTAATAGACATGTCACCATACATAGTGCTAGAACTTTGCTATATGATATTTCGTAAATCTGCGTATTGTAATGTTTTCATGTAATTTGATAAGAATCCACACAAGCGTTAGTCATGGTATAAAAGGTTTATTTTATAATACAAGGTGGCAAACGAGCAAGTGACCACCTGAATCCACCGAAATGGAAAGCGACCGCTGCCCAAAAACATCCGCATTTGCAGATGCATTGCCTACCGTTACTTGACGAAGTAGGAAACTCCCATAAAGAGGACATTTCCCCTTCCTACGCGTCTCCTCCACAGTCAAATCCACTTTTCCTTTCCAACCTCTCCTCTCAAAAAGGGTGGAAAGTGAAAGGGACTAAAATTACCCCTCCGGCACCACACTCATCAGACGAAACGCGGAATCGCTTCCACTACACGTCTGTTTACTGCGTGGTCGTGGTATTGTACCGGGCGAGCCGGCCCATTCGTACGAAGATGTTTAAGCGGGCTCTACCACTGTTAACCTGTGTTTAAGCTAAAATCAACGGCGCATCCAAGGGGGGGGGGGGTCATTACCACCCCCAGAGATGGTTGGTCAAGAGCTTGACAAAATATTTTTTCAAGCTCTTGACTTGACCACGACTATGTGAACCCCCCCTGGCGCCAAAGCTGGATCCGCCCTTGGCTAAAATATATTTAAAACAATGTTTAACCATTTTTTGTTAACGTCTATAAATTTGAATATCTGTCTGCACAAGCTGCCGACATAGAATTTGCTAACATAAAAGTAATCTTATCTCTATATTGAAGTATGTTGAACTAAAGGCAATGCAATTAAAGTATTTAGGTAAAAATTCAGAATGATTTACTGCCTTTATTATCTGTGCGACGGAATAATAAAATTTAACTGATTGTGAGGTTATAAAACGTCACTATTATCTAATGATATTATCAGGATTTACGTCAGTATTTATGTAATTTTTAAATACTTTTATTACAGAAATATAAGAGTAACATTTGTTCTGGTAGGATCATACCATTGACATTGTCAAGTGCAATCGAAGATGTTTATTTTGTACCCATTTCGGCGAAGTAACTGAATAAATGTAAACTAGTACCATTGATAAAATCTTCTTTATTTATTGATAAAACACACAAACTATTCACATAAATTGATAAAAAGTCATTTAATACAAATGAAATGTGGTTACATCGCTCATGTCATGTTTTTCTCTACATTCGAATTACGTTCCTTAATTACAAATATTTTCTATGGCTTTCTTGGCGGCCAGCATGATATTTATTATTTATTGCTTGACCAGTAACATTAAGATCGAGTGCATAAGTTTTACTAAACGTTGCACAAATGTTGTGCGATTGTCGATTGTTTCGAAGGCAATTCAACTGTTTAGTTGCACAACTAAAGGTCGAGTAGTATGCGCACCTCCATATAAGCTCATACAAATCAAAGCGAGACTAAACAGTTACGCGATATTTAAGTCAAAATATAAGATCGAAAATTAACAGCAACTAACAACAATGCAGAATTATAACGCTTTTATGGATACTGTGGGTTGATGTAATTGAGAGACGAAATTAATTCGCTTAATATATTGGTTAACTACAATATTTGTAACTAAATTACATATGTATATGAACATGCTGTTTTATTTTCCAAATACGTATAATAAATAATTAATAAGTATTTTATCTAATCAAATGCATTTGCATTTTATCAATGAAATATTTCCTCGTTGATAGCAATTCTTACATTGTTAATTTTGATGTGTGCTTTTAATTATTTCTTACTTTTGAATGCAATGGTTGTAGATTTTAAACATGGATAGAGGTGTCATTTAAAATAAAATAATCCGCTCGATTATTAAGCCCGCATATACGAAGAGTTTTCATAGTTTTAACTGAACATTTCGACTGAAGAAAAATATACTTTTAGTTGAACAGTTCAATTTTTGTGAAAGAAATGTGCAATAAAAAGATACTGATAAATTAAAACAAGATTCATATTTGAAATAATTTTATTATATCAATAGAGAACACAAAAAATAACAACCATGAGATATTTATTTATCTATACTATTATAATAAAGCGTAAACACACACTTCTTTGATGCCTAAGATGTCAGCAATCACAGCATATTTTTGAATAGTTCTTTTTTTAATAAAAAAAACCCTACACTTACGTCACGCTTTAGGCTATATAGTTTCACGTCATTAAACTCTGGGAGTAAATATTTTAGATAAAAATCCTAATGTGGGAAAGAGACCATAAGTTGCTGCCAACATCAAGGAAGTAATTGTCATTCGTGCATTTGAAGTTTGACATTTCATGCGGATGAAGCCGCACTGGAACAGCTAGTCTAGACTAAAACAAATCGTTTAATCGTAAACACATACAATTTAATATAACATGCTTCGTTACAGAAAAAAAAATCGTTTGCTATGAAGGCCAATGTTGTTTTTTTGAGGGAAAAAATGATAACCATAATTTAATAAACTTATACACACATGAGATGAAAGAAGAAAATAAAACAAGAAAAAACAAAAAAATCTTATTTCAACAAAACAACACATTGCTAGCGTATACTAAGATAATAATTTATTACAATTATTTTTAGAAAATAAACTTAATTTTACACTATTATACAATTAAAACGTATTATTAATGTCAAAAAATATATTACAATGTCAAATGTTAAAAGTAAAGAACTAAAATACCTATGCAGAAAAAAACAACTTTTCATTCTGTTTAAACACATATTTAAAACAAATATTTTGAATTTCTATTCTCTTACAACATTCGTTCATACAGAAGGATTTTTTTAAATGTACGCATCTAACACTTTTATCAGTCTGTGGTCTTTGCAAATGAGACGGTGTTTCGGATTACAGTTTATCGATGTAAAAATAGATTGCTCGATTGTATAATCAAAAACGTATTAATGCAAACTTCTAATAATTTTGAAAAGATTTAAAATTGAGATTCCGAAAAATAGCATAGTGGAAAAGTATTTACAAAACCAACCAAAAAAAGTGAATTTTTCTGTGAAAGAAATGAATATTTTGTTGACAAAATCAAACCGTTCGAAAAGAAGACCTAATAAATAAAAATATACCAAGATAGTATGAAAAAATATGGAACGAATTTCGACATTTACATTCGTGGTAAGGTTCTAATTGAAAAAAAAATCTTCACGTTTTTGCTTTTATTTTTTTTACTTTCTTAAAATATTTTAATTGTTATATTAAGGATTAAATTCCTTTTGTTTATACGACATGGATAATCTTATCTTGTCAAATATTATCAATGCAATTAGTAAGGTTCGTTTGATTTTTATCATAATCTGCTATGAATCGGCTCAGACTGATATAAAAACTTTACCAGCCAGTATTTTGTATTAATTAAAAAAAGTGTAATCAAATAATAAAAAAAAGTAAAAAAAAGACTGGTCGCACTTTAACTAAACTATCGCACAAATATTGTGCGATTGTCGATTGTTTCGCAGTCAATTCAACTGTTTATTTCCACAACTAAAAAGTTCATAGCGATCAAAGCGAGACTTAAGGGGCGGTTACGGCAAATTGCGCATTTTTGGAGGCATAGAACAGGATTTCTACAAATATTTGATTCGTGATATTTTAATATGTATAACTTCAGTCCATTAACTAAAGGCTCGTGGAACAGAATCACGATTGGACAAACTTTTCTCGATAGATTTATTTTTTGAAAATGTGCCTGATTCTGTAAAAATTACTATATATATGCAATACAACAACGAAAGTAACAACTTGAAGTGGTTTATTTGATATAGTTTTTTATATAGTTTAGTCAATGTGCGCTGTAAATCAACAAAATACGTGTAAATTTTACACAAGCGATTCACAAACATGTGTGTGTAAGATAAAATAATTTTTCCATAGTTGGTTTATTTATGTCAGATGTTCTTAATGGACACACTAATATTTTATTATGTACATTGCTATCTGATAATGTTATGAGAATACAACGCGCGCGCACCTTGTCCAGCGCCCTGGGCTGTCGCCCAACTGTGCCTTACAGGCACAGACTAAACAACCCAAGCATAGTATAGATAACTAAGGGATGAATACTGAACCGACATTTATGTAAGTTCTTAAATGAGAAGTCCACAATTAAATTCCAATTTTATATCGTCTGCGATTTTGTAAATAACGTGTAAGAACTCTTTAAATTTCGTTTTAGTATACCTAAAATAGTAAATATCGTTAGTTTAAAATCAACAGAACAAAGGTAAAACTGTGGATTACATGAATAATGTGAAACTAAACTAACTTGACTGTTTTTATACTAACGTTACAATGACGAAAGATTTTGGTTTTTGGATTTTTGTTTGTATTGAAATAACTCAAAAACTACTAGACTGTTTTAAAAATTCTTTCACCATTAGAAAGGTAATTTATCTGTGAGTAATATAGATGCTTACTATTATTTTTGCGGGTGAAGTCGCGAGGAACAGCAAGTCATAAACAAAAGTGAGTAGCCTATGTATTCTTTCAGAATATCCTCTACATCTACACCAAATTTCATCAAAATCCGTTCAACCGTTTAGGCTACAAACTCTAAGAAACATCCTTCCATCCATCTAAACTTTCGCATTTATAATATTACTAAGATAGATAGAGACAAACACAATTTTATTTTAATTAATTGTAACAGATTGTCATTTTTCAAATTGATATAATCTCAAGGATTAACATAATGCATAACACGCTTGTAGGATTAATGCACACGTGTTTTACAATCAGTAAATATTGTATGAAGATTACTTTCATTATTAATTGATCATAAATAGATTATTCATAAATAGATTTTTTACTTCGGACCTTTGATAAGAATTTAAAACGTTTATGCCCACTTTTATATCTCAATTCTGACAGTTCTAATTGAACAATAGAATTCTTACGTTAAAAATGTTTTAGCTTTAAAAATTGACAAAAAAACCTTTAAAGATTCACATAATATTTAATAATCAAATTATCATCATCTTTCTACTTATCCTACTCCAGTAGGTTCGGCGCAATAGGATTTTGTCTTCATAACTCTGTCATACGTATGAATCTATATTATTTGCCTAACTTTTTATGTTGCTTGAACGTTCTACGTACAATATTTATAAAATAAAATTGTATTCTAAAATCCACTGTATTATATTCCACGGCTAGTAACATCTAGAGAGCCTAGAACTACAAGAAATCGATTAAAACTACACAAATATACGTTAACATCGTAACATGTTTCATTTTCACACTTTTCCCGCAATAATAAATGCACATTTTGACGAGCAACATTGATTGTTACCTAAAATGGTATTTACAATGAACTTATAACAAAATAAATAAAAACTAAGATTTTGTACGAATTTACCAACGTAATAAAAATCACATACAATCGAGGAATCTTACGGCCAAGTACTGAAACGACATTTAAATATGTAAAAGAGTCTTAAATGATAAGACCACGCTCGAACATAAAATTTCATTAAAATTTTGACGTCTGAGAAATCGTAAGCGATGACGCATCAAACTGTTGGAGATTCGTTTCAGAATTCGGCCGTTATTTCATTTTATCCATAAGTGCTACCTCTTATAACAGTTTGATATAACATGGAATCGAATTTAATTCCTTGACTATTCACCTTTGCATGCATTGGATGAATCTGTGAAGAATTTCCTTTTCAAATTAGTTATAAAGCAAACTCCCGAACCGACGGTTGATTTGAGTAAGGAGGTGATGCTAAGTAGCGCACCCAGCATGCCGATCGGCGATGGGTTGTACAAGGAGGAGGCAGCGCTGCGGTACACAACTCGGTTGGTAGGTTGTAAGCTTCGGTAGTTGTCGACGCCCCCTACGTACACTTGACGGAATTTTTTGTACTGGATGGACAAAAATATGAATAAATAAACGAAGAACAAATAAGTACTAACATAGAAGATCAATAAAAATACCACCACTCGGGCACTGTGGCCTTAAAAAATAGCCTTAGATTTTTTTCAATTCGAAGCACACGTCTTCATTAATAAAAACTTTCTGCTTTACTTAAACATTTCTATGAATAGTTAAATTAATTTTTCTCAATGGTATTCTACTACTAGACACATTTCATGTCCTCATTTCTAAGTTATTTTGACATTTAACACGTTGAATGCGGACTACGATTTTCTCATATTCAAATGAACACGTAGGGAACTTTTGTGGTGCTGAGATTGGTTAAGGAGAAATCATCGAATCAGGACTTTTTAGTGATGTCTATATGATGAAAATTTAAAAACAATGTGGCGGGAAACTTAAGTAGGAAAACATGGTGTGTGTAAAAGGTGACAAAATTAATAAGAGAGTGTCGATAAAAACAGGGAGATGATTAAGGCAGTATATACCTGTGAGTCAGATATGATGATGGGCTCTTCCTGCACGATCCAGGTGACCACCTCCTGGCAGTCAGGAGTCGTCAGCGAGCCGTGGTACGTGTAGTAGGACTGTCTTTGCGGACTCATCAGACGACTGATAGACAAAAAAAATAACATTAAATACTACATTCACTAAATTAAGTGTTTTATTCACGAGAATGAAGTATAAAGTTATTTTACAAGTTGAAACTTTGGTATTAAACAATGTAAGTTAAACATTCTCTTTATATCGGGCTACAAGTTAACACTTGTATTGTTTTAAAGTTTAAATACTAAAACAATGAATTCAATTAAATACAAATCCAGACTTTACAAATTATGCATTATATTGTGTTTTAATCTTTTCACCTGCATCTATAATATTATAAAACTTAATCTTAACAAGCTTTTGTTCGAAACTTGAACAGCTGTACAAATAATTGATTCGCAATTTCACAAACTACAATTGACGTCTTTGTAATAATTTTTTGGCAATATTTACAGTCGCTAAAAGTTACATTGCAATTATTTTATATTGTTAAAACTTTGCTACGTAATAAATAAACATGAAGTGATATAATATTTAGTTTATATCACTTAGAAAAAGAAAATTAAACAATAAAATTGCCGTTTAGTTCGTAAATTTGATCGACTTAATATCACTCAGAATTTAAGGGAGACTAGCCCTTAGTCAACCACGTTGGCCTAGTTCTGATCGACTTCACACACATTTAATTCCTTTGCAAATATTTGCAGCTTAGTTTAAATGTTATCAATGAAAGGAAGTCGGATAAATGATCACATAAATTTAGAGTGTGGTACTAGATACTCACTACAAATCTAAGGTGATGGGTAATTCACTTCCTGCGACGGTCCTGTTCTGCAGAGAGGGCACCATGTCAGCTAACTGATGCAGACTGTAGTCATTGTCTTCATCATCAGCGAACACCTGAAGACAGACGTTTTATCAACATTTGATATCGATGGTTAAGTCCACCCTAAGGACGCACACCTTTGACCAAACAATCGCACAACTGATGTTCGATTGTCGATTGTTTCGCAGCCAATCCAACTGTTTATTTGCCCATAAAAATCGAGTAGTGTGCGCACCTCCATATAAGCTCATATCAATCAAAATAAGACTAAACAGTTATGCGATAGGTTAGTGACACGCTTTAGAAGTGACATAGTGAAATAAAAACAATTCATTAGGGATTTACTCGTTGCATATTTTAAAAACTATTTGATCATTAAAATATTCACTTGTGACAGCCCTATTCGAGTAACAGGATGTCAGATAGCACTATACATTTGAATGTAAAACCCCTTACCCTACAGAGCACGCCGATGACGGCTAAGCCATCAGGCCTCTTCAAAGCCTCCGCCACTGTTAAACCTGTCTTCACATGCAGTAAGTGGATTTCCATTGGGTACCTAAAGAAATATACATGAGAAATAATCGAAGCGTCACAGGCTTTTTAATTTAGTATCGTCACAGGCTTTTTAATTTAGTTTCGATTCCTGACGATCGAATACTATTTTAAATCAAATCTAGACCTTGGATGGTTTCAGGAAAGGTAGTTTTAAATACTTAATCATTAGGAAATTAATTATTTGAAACTAAATAATCTTTCAGTGCTATTAAAAAAGTATTAATAATGACAATAATTAAAATAAAATTAATAAAAAATATTGTTAATGTATTTTTAATAACATTTTGTATCAATAAGTAATATTTTGCGTCAACGGATACTTACTTCATGCCATCTATCGCATGCTCGGAGAACCAGTGAAGATGGAACTGCACGAACGTGTAATTGCCTCGTAGAGGGCCGCCAGACAACACTGGTGCTGGGCCGTCCTCCTCTACCATCCATTTCACTAAGAAATAATTTAAAAAATTGAGTAACAGAAAAATAATACGAAGATCATAATTTGAATATCTTAGAGCGGTTTTAAGACTTGTAAGAGCCGGTACACACCTTTGACTAAACTATCGTACTGTGGTGCGATAGTCGATTGTTTCGCAGCAAATTCAACTGTTTAGTTGCACAAATAAAAATCAAGTGTTCGCACCTCCATATAAGCTTATAGGAATCAAAGCGAGTGTAAACAGTTGTGCGATAGTCTAGTCAAAGGCGCACTCTTACAGTTAGATTTACCAATTTGAAGATTATTTCATACATTAACAAATAAAAAAAGGTAAATGAAACTCAACAATATTAGTTTTATAGTAAAAATATTATACATACACGTGCGGCCGGTGTTGGTGGCGCGAAGGTTAACATCTCCGAAGCCGCGAAAGACGAGAGGTCCTCGTATATGCGCGCCGTGCGTGTCCAGTATAGTGTTCCGCGTCATTATGTTAATGGGTGACTGTTGTTCGCCGCTGCGGCACTGGTTGGGCCATTGCGTTTCATCTGGATTGACACATTATATTGAAACTATTCTGGTAATGGAACAAATAGTATGAAAGATACACTATTTACGAAATTGCAATTAATTTATTTACTGTTTACTAGTAGAATGTAAAGTAAATGTTAAAACTTACAATTGTATGACCAATCAGATCCGGAATCACAGTTCACAATACCTGAAACAAAAGAATTCATAAAACTCAACAATAAGTTACAGAGCCATGTTGCCATCCCTTTCTTTACCTTTTTATAAATAGGGATAACAATATATTTATGTACTACTTTTGTATTGTAAAATACAAACGAAAGGGCCTATTGGGCCGACAATTCTCTACGTGTACAGAATCATTACCGCACTAAAAAGGTTACATTTGCTCGTCCAGGAAATACTTAAAAACTGTATTTTGTTTTTTTAGTTTGACTTTTAAATTGTTACAAAACGTTGTCTATTTAACAGCTGGTATCTTATCACAAACAACTGAAATAACTGAGAACTTTAAAATTTCGCGTAGTCGGAATTTTACTAAGGTTGACACAGTATTTGAATCAAATAAAACCTTATCTTAGTTTACGGTCCGCAAATATTTAACTGCTAAACGTAAAACTATAAAGTATTATTTTGCTACTGTTTTTATTCGAAAAACATTGTAGAAGATGGTAAAGAGTTAAGCCATACAATATAAACTATCTGAATTCGCTGAATTAGGGAAGCGACTACTGCCCATAGATATCTCTAACTGCAGATGCGTTGCCTACCTTTATTAGACGATGGTGGCGAAGCACAGAAAGGGCATCACCCTTCCTATGAGACCCTCCTTCGTCAAAGAAATAGTAGAAAAATAAAAATAAAAATATTTTCTTTTATAAAGGGCACACTAAAGTTTTTCTTTAGCTAACAGTCAAATTTCATTACGGAAAACACTTATCTCTGTTTTTTTTCTAAGACAATGAAAGGGATGACAAATGACAATGCATTTTTAAAAGTGCATAGACAATAGAAAAGCTCAAAGTTAAATTATTTCACTGTCGTTTACTTTTTTATTGTATGAAATGGTGCTGGAGTTACGGTCCAATTAGGCCAAGAACGAGAGACGAGTGGAGTTGAGAGTCGACCTACTTTTGTCAAAGAACATATTAATGAAAAGTTCTGTTTGTGTAGATGACATTTTTGAATTAATTAATGTTATGTTTTTTTTTTTTAAATAAAATATTTAACTCCCTTTAACGAAATATCAGAACCATCTGTATCTCTTTTTATAAAAAAAAATATTAAATATTATATGACGAAAAAAAGTTTTGTTTTTAAATTATGTCCGAATATCGAGCGATAGGCAAACATTTTTTTGATTTACTTTCAAAAATACTTATATTACAAACTAGCTTTCGCCCGCGACTTTGTCCACTTGGAATTTAAGAAAACAAAAGTAAGTAGTCTATGTGTCCTTCCAGACTATTCTCTAAGTCTGTACTAAATTTCATCAAGATCCGTTCAGCCGTTTAGGCTACAAACTCTAACAAACATCCATCCATCTAAACTTTCCCATTTACAATATTAGTAAGAAAATACAATTTAATTTTATTTAAATTTTCCTTAATAAATCTATCATTCAAAATTAGTTAATTACGTTAAGTACTGACTCATACGATAAAATAATGCTTAACAGCAATGAACCGATTATTTTGAAGATATTATTTTTTGATAGACCAATAAATACTTTTCAAAGATAAAATTGATAATTCATCGAGACAAAAACATTGACTTTTTAATATCAAAAGTCAAACCCTACATCTATATACACAAACAGACAAACAAGGCAGACAAAGCAGGGTACCTGATTTCGCCAAAAAAGCAAAGTGACCACTGCCAATATCTGCATTCGCAACTGCGTTAATCAGAAGCCATAAATAATGGGATATAGAAAAAGGGGTTTTTGCCTTCCCTATGAGTCCCCACCTTTGCCATTCACTTCCACTTCTCATCTTTTCTTTATAAGAAAACTGTAGCAAGGAGAAGAGGACCACAATTGCTGACCAGGACACAACTTATCGCTTATTCATGTGAACTCTCCCATTAGATTAGCTAATAATAAATGCATCGGTTTGTCGTGTGTGTGTAAATAATATAATGATTGCATTATAACCAACTGTGCAGTCTTTAATGCAGAGATCATGTGAAGATGAATTTCGATATAAAATCAATAACCAATTGTTTCATTATAAAGGACTAGCTGTTCCCGTGCGACTTCATCCGCATATAATTATGAAAATTTTATTTTGTTGTTTACATGTGTCAAATTATCAATTGCAAATGTCAAAATGATATGACAAATGATGGCAACCTTCCTTGATGTTGGCAGCAACTTATGGTCTCTTTCCCACATTAGGGTTTTTATCCAAAATGTTTACCCCCTAAGTTTAATGGTGTTAAAATGTATAGCCTAAATCGTGACGTAAGTGTAAGGCTTTTTATTAAAGAAAGAATTATTCGAAAATATGCTGTGATTGCTGACATCTTAGGCAACAAAGAAGTGTGTGTTTACGCTTTATTATAATAGTATAGATTCTGTGTTACATCTTGGATATTATAATTCAATATTGGTTCCGAAATTACATAAGAAGAGCATTAACGTGTGTGTTTCTGAGTAGGAACCTACATTACAACTCACTGTACGGCCCCACTGAGGGGCAGCTCACCCTCAGTTAGGGGTCTAGGCCACAAGCACGTTGGCCAACTGCAGGTTGATTTTCATATCTTTTCTTGAATCAGAATTTTATAATTTTCAAGTTGTTTATGTTACAAAAATGATGAAAACCCAAAATATTGAACCTAATCATTATTCAATTTTTTTATTTAAAATTATTAAAGTGTTTTTTTGTTTAATCCATCATTTACAAGGTTATTACAAGTAATATTAAATTTAATTTTTAGAAGCAAGTTTTAAAATCAGTTTTAAAGTTTAACAAACTGCTATGAATTATTCGTTAGTTAAAAATGAACCTTACAAGGTCATATAAATCCTTAAAAATAAAACTCACCAATAACAACTAAAACATAAATCACTTGCAACTTCATAATTGAAAAATATTTTTTCCCGCCTAATTCCTTTTTAAGACAAAGTCACAAGTCGCTACACACATCAGATGCCAGATAACAACTGAATTGGAAGACGATATTTTTACTTTATATATGACTTACGAGGGTTTATTTTTTTCACGAAGTATGCGACATATCGCGAGGGCGTAGACGCGGGCGGCACGCGCTGTCCGCACTGCTAACCCAAGTCTAGTCTACAAGTCTGCAGGTTACTTAAGGCGTAAACACACTAGCGACGTCACTATAATTTTTAAGACAGTTTTACTCGTTTTTTACATCAAACATACCATATTACTTATTTTAAAGGCCATTTTCTAACATAACTTTAGTTGTAGACATTAACGACAACTTTAGAGTTTAGATTTAATAGATTGATATTAAAAATAACCAAATTCTATTTATATTATAACTAAAATAATAAGTCGACGTTAAAAAGTGTTTCAAATGAAGACATTTCGCTAGTGTGTATTCTTCTTAAGTGACACACAGACGTTGAGAGTCTCAAACGTATTAAATTAATATATTTTTAAAAATCAAGTTGAAAAGCAAATATTTTTCGTTGTAAAAGTAAAGTAACAATATTTTTGTCATTGTTAAATATGTAATTACTCAGCTCTTTTATCTGACTAACTGGCGATACGATGTTTGGTGCTTATCAGATTGTTTCGTTGTTATAAAAAAAATTTTTGTCTTTGATTAATTTCAAAGTTAAACGGTCAATCAAAAATATGAAAATAACCGACAATCTTTTGATATAATCCGGTCCATTCGATGCGTTACGTTAGTAATGTTCTACGGGTTCGAGTGAATTAAATGTTTATTATAAAGTGTTGAAAATCGATACAAATGTATTTTATCATAAACTGTATATGTTTAAAAATAGTAACATTACATCATGCCAGTATTATTCTGGCTTATGATAATTGATACGAGTATAAAAATAATCATCGAATTAGTATATCAGAAATATATGAAGGGAAATGGTACCGATATGATAAATACAGGGTTAATTACTAAAAAAATTAATCATTGACGTAAAACTAAAAAGAATGTTAATTAATGTGATTTTAAAAGTTTACTACAAGATAATCGCTGAAAAGCTAGACTGGGTATAGTGTAATGTTGCGTACTGACCGACGTTACGCGGTGTAATCTAACATGTTACCCGACGAGCATTGCACATAGTTACGTAGTTTACACGTACACGAGGAAAAGAGCCAGAAACGAAACGCGTAACACTTGATCCACAAATACACGATTATGTTCAAGATATAATTGCTCGAGATATAATTATTAGGTGACTCAAACAAACTTATTTGATTATTGTAATTATCTAATAATTTTCATGCCTTATGATAATTTTGCGTAGATTAGTAATAACTAAAATTAGAATATGGTTATAGATAAACCATTCAATATAGTAGCCTATAAAAGAGCGTAAGATTTAGAGGTTTATAATAATTAATTATGAAAAAGAGAGAATTAAGAAAAAATCAAACAAAAAAATGTGACCTACTTGCAAGCACTACCTGTCGGAAAAAAAAAGAATTATCAAAATCGGTCCACTACCGGCGGAGTTATGCGGTAATACACATAAAAAACAACATACAGATGAATTGAGTACCTCCTTCTTTTGGGAAGTCGGTCAAAAATATGCATCAAAATTCTTGCCCCTCTTTAAAGCAACAAGAGCAATGCATACTTTCCATGCTGCTTTAAAATTGTGTAAGAGATTAAGCGAGTCTCTGCATGAAATGGTTTATTTATGCCGCCAAATAATCTTAAACGCGTTAGAAGTAACCTTAATTGTGTTAAGTGGGTATATACATACATATTGCCTTAAAACAGACCTTGATAATTGTTATTAAAGATCAAAATTATGTAAGTAACACTACTACTATACTAAATTAAGTAGTTGAGAAACTTTCAGTTATAATCATAAATTTTTAACCACAACAGTATTTGAAAAATCCTTTCTGTTTCTATCTTTCGATCTGGTATCGTATATTTTCTTATTTGAATCTAGTTAACAATTTTTGATTCTTTTAGGTATTTGCCCCACCTCTCCTGGCGATGGCCATGTACTCATACTTACTTTTGCAATGATAAACCTACAAAATAAGCTATGTAGATATAATGATAAATTGCGATACAGAAAGAAAAGAACGGAAAAAACAAACATCCTCCATTATTACCGATTAAGGAAACACGACGCTGATAATATTTCGGCTTTACTTACAATTTAAGTTGTCGATTGTATCGTTAGTAATTCTCATTTTAGTAACATTTGCTTATCATTTGTTAGTTACCTATTCGAATACATCACTTCATACACTGCTCAGGTTTTTTGGAAAATAAATAATGTAGAGGGAGTGAATGGATGGTGGAAAGAAGTTGAGCGAGGCGATAAGACGACAGCCCAATAACGCAGTTAGATATACATACCATACCAATGGGTGGTTGACACGGAGACTGCGAGGACGCCGGAACCCAGTCGGATAAAATAATTAAATAGACAATATGGTGATAGAAAACAATCTAAAATTGCAACTAATTACGTCTCATAATTAAAGACGGTTTTGAATATGGAAGTTCTATGAACTACCTAACCAAATCTCATTTCCTTTATCTGGTTTATTTTTCCTTTTAAATCCACAAATTTGAGAAGATTCCTTATTGAACTGCTTTATCCCTTTGCTTCTTTATTCTAAAGGGTGTCATAGTATTTCCAATGAGTCTAGCAGCTTAAAATTTAAAGAAGTTATTGTCTACGTAACTGTACACGCTTAGACCAATTTTGGTCAGACATCAAGGGATTAAATTTGAGAAAAAAAGAATTTGTAGCGATAAAATTATTTATGATACATATTAAAGTTGAAAATCAATCTCATAAAATATCAATCGACCGATAACACTGAATTCTACATTTAGATAACTGATTTATAATATTGAACAAATGCTTTGTAAAGTGGTCAGTGGTACCTAGTTACTTCTTTACTTGGTTTTAAGTAGTTTTTAACAGTGGTAGAGCCCGCTTCAACATCTTCGCACGAATGGGTCGGCTCGCCAACAGACGTGAAGTGGAAGCAATTCCGCGTTTCGTCTGATGATTATGGTGCCGGAGGCCTAATTTTAGTCCCTTTCCACCCTTTTCTTAGGAAAAGATGGGAAGTAGAGAAGACGCATAGGAAGGAAAATGTCCTCTTTATGTGTGTCTCCTCCTCCGTCAATTAAGGGTAGGGAACGCATCTGCAATTGCGGATGTTTATGGGCAGCAGTCGCTTTCCATTTCGGAGGATTCAGGTGGCCGCTTGCTCGTTGCCATCTCATATTATAAAAAAGTTATCGTTTTTATAGTTTAAGTAAACCTAGCTAGTAAACAAAGTTGCGTAATTTCCACCGCAAGTAATTAACTTTGTAAATATGCGGTTAGGTCTTGCGTAAGCATATTTCGAAACTAGAAAAGAAAAGATTAAATTTTGGAAAAAAAGTGTTAAAAATTATATAAACCTTTAACTACTACTGAACTGAGTTTTATATTCATGAATTAATTTTTATTATCATGAACCCTTAGAAAGAAGTTAAAAAACCCCGGAAATTATCGTAATTTTATCTCGAAATTTTAAAAACACTTAATAAGTGATAGCGTAGCGAAAATTATGTTATATAAATGGACAGTTTTCATCGGGGAAGTACAATGACGTCATTCGAATATTTAGTAGAAGGTGCTTACGATTTACAAGACAAAGGTACCGTATATGGACTCCACTGAAATGTTTTTAATTTTACATCACCGTAATAATCTTAAAGCAATGAATTCTGAAGGCCGCTTTAATTTTCAACTGATCATATGAAAAAAAAAAATAGCTTTTAATTCATTATCAATCCATTTGCTATTTTACTATATGCACATTCTTCTTATGGCATTACTAAAGTCAAGTTTACAGTAAGTATAGTTTAAAAAATGTTCGCGGTTCTAGTGGGCCGTGTGTCCGGAGAGCGCGCAGGTCGGCCCATTTATTAATAAAATTCACACTCGGGAAGCCGGTACAGTGATCATGTCATTTCGAGTTTTTAGACCTCAAATAGTACAAGCTATTCTTTTACTTATTGCCAAACTGGAAGACACAATTTTGTTTGTCAATAAACATGCGTTGGTATCAACTTGATTTGCGGTCCAGTTCCGAAGGATGTTACTTCCTAATATAAAGTCTATAAATAGGTTAAGGGTGTTTCAAGGTGTGAGGGGTCGACGGCTGCCGAATGACCCGCTTTGATTGAGGTCGGATGTTTCTTACGGATTTGATTTGGTCACTTTAAAAGGAACTGTTTCATAATACTTGTAACACGGTACATCTTAGAGTTCAATTTCCTTTTCCGCTCTGAGATATTTTATTAAGATTATTATATTATTAATTTGACGCGTACTTTGCAAGTTATTGAGAAATTGTAGTACCGCAACAATTATAATTGTTGTTATTCTAGTAAATTGACAGTCAAAACCCACAGTAAAACATGTATCAAAGCATCGTCGCGATTGAACTTTACTTTGTGACGTGGTAACTGTCTCAAACCAACGTCATTATAATTGTTGTTTTTTTCCTGATTTACATATGAACTTGTATCGACAGGTCACTGCTCTAAAGTGAATGTAAAAAGACATAAGAGTAGGGACGCTGGTTACTTTGCTTATTAGAGACTAGCTATTTCTCGTTACTTGGTCCGCGTGAAATTAAAAAAAAAAGGAACATAGCCTATGTAACTCACTGATAACGTACCGTTGTAATTGTGAAAGAATTTTTGAAATCAGCCTAGTAGTTTTTGAGTTATTTTAATAATGAAAAAATCCAAAAATACAAATCTTTTCTATTTTTAATATTAGTATAGAAGGGGACAAGCGATGGGTGGTAACACCAAAGTTGCTAAAGACGCCTATGGACATCTGCAACACTTAAGGAACGAAGAGGAAGAAAGGACGGAAGGAGATGTCTGAATTAATCCTTATTCTCCTACAATAATCTCCGCGGTCCAGGTACGGCGTAGTCTTACTTGATTAGTTCCATTATCTAGATAACTTCTAACACTAGTAATTAAAATGTCCGATAACATACACATGCTATTAAGAAAAAGATGTATGACTTTATTATAACTTATCCAAGGACAAGTTTATAAATATCAAGTGCAGTCTACACGGACGTTAATAAAAATTAATTTGAAGACGACAATGAGCCTGGAAGGTTAAACATGCGGAAGTTTAAAGAAAGAATTGAAAGTATGGAAGAAAAAAAGCTTAATATCCATCCTTGTTCGAGTCCTTTGTCCATCGAGTTAACGTCCTTGTCAAGGCTTACTAGTGGCCACAGGTTAATAATTTTTGAGAACTTAAATACTAAAGAATTGATTTAACATTTACTAATATAAAGCGCCAATAGCCTAATGATTTGGGGTACGGACTACCGATCTTGCGGTCGAGGGTTCGAATCCCGCCATTCGAGCATTGTCGTGAACCATATCCTAGCACAAGCCTACATCTTGGTTGGTTAAAGGAAATATTAGAAGATAAATTAACAAAAATTTATTGATATTTTAAAAAATATATGGTAGAATAGTTATTTAAACAATTTTATACTCATTAATGCTATTGTTACTCTAAATTATAATCGGTTTGTATGTTGCATATTATTGCATTCGATTTATATGCCAGAGTAGGTACCATCCACACTATCTTGATGGACAATCTTCAACTATGCGGTATTTCTAAACAGTAAAATGTTCTCTAAACCCGGTAACGTAGCTGTAGTTCTTCTGGAATTACGCATGTCTATGGGCTTCGGGCGGTGTCCGCACTTGGCCAGCGTGGTTGGCTATAGCATAGTCACCCTAACTTATGGTTGGCTCCGAGCCTAGTGGGGACGTATAGTGAGCTGGTGATGATGATGGGCTTCGATCACCAGTGTTCCTCTAATCGTTTGCCTCCTTATCTTAAAAAAGTACTCCATCATTTTTCCTTATTTGATGAGATTTACAACAAAATGTAGGAGAGAAGAGTAGTGTTGTATTTTATACAAGAGAAAAGAGATAGGTGGCGAAGATACGATTTAAAAAGTCTGTCTTCTATCGCCATAGACTATACTAAAACCTCTTTCTATACAAACTTAATAGATACATGTAATCCATGTTTTCTGAATAAAACCAGATTGCATCGTCTCAGTGGCCGGTGGGCGCAGGATACGCAATTACTGCACTTTACCAACTCTATGATTACTCCTACGTTGAAATGTATACTTTTAAAATGTGCTTTTATTAAATGCATGCTTGTGTGACAGGATCTATTTAAATTGGAAATAATTTCGGAGTAAGACGGCTTTATAAGTACCCAATGCCATAAAATAAAACTTAGAGATAGTAGTGTTATATATTATTTCAGAAAATTTACACCAGACATTGGCGCGTTTAATTTATTATGCAAAGCTACTTATAACGCCATCTAACGAGTGTTAACTTATGAGTGTTAGTAAGAAAAAAGACTTCATATGTTTCATCTTAGTAACAATAGATGGCTCTGTTATTCATACAATTGAAGATAGTGATTAGAGCGCTCTGCATTTACACAAAAGACACATTGTAAACTTAACTACCCGAAAGACATGGTTTGGTTCATTAGGTATTTTATCATGTTAATATAATGTATATGTTTATCTGCATAGTAAATATTTGGAGGATTGGAATAATAGACGAGCATGATATATGCACATATTTTTAGCATAAGGTGACAGAGGAGCAAAGGAGCTAGCAAAATTCATAAAAATAGCGAAGCCACCGTTGCCTATCTTTAATCAACAAATATCTAAAGAGAAAGAGGTTTAAAATCAAAGTGAAAGTAGAAAAACCGTTAAATACGTTTGTTTTTTTTAATAAAACAATTGGCAACACTAACAAAATTTCTTTTTTATTACCGGTATTTTACTTTGTATTGTTATGACATCCTAATTAATATATTATGATTGATATATTACATGAATATGTCTTACATAGTCAATGGAATGGCCTAGCTTAATAATACAAACAGCAATATTTGAATGAACAGATAACCAGACAGTTGTCACAAATATACATACAGAAACAGCACAAAGCTAATTTATATAATTTAACATACGATAGCGTAACTTGATAAAATATAATCCCAAGTATTTTAACAAAGAATAACGTAGTACATATAGGCCGGTCAAATTTATAGAAATTAACCTATCAAAGATTAAAAGAAGAATAAAATAAAATAACAATGCAAAATTAAAAAGAAAGTGACATTCAAAGATTATAAAAACAAGTTTAGATCGAAAGAAATCTGTGTCTGGCACGAAAATTAAAAAAAAATAACCTACAAAATTCGACAGAACTAAGAGTTAGGAATTCTCAGCTTAATGCGAATAATTGTACCTTTAAATGTTTAAATTGATCGGCCTAGTTACTTATTAAATCAATTTCCTGTAATGCATTAAAAGTAACTTCCTATAGACCTAGCTTAGACCTTAGCAGTGACCTGAACTGTCGCGCCCTACTTTATTAAAATAATATCCGCCGCGCCTTGGTCAAAGACTAGCGATGGTCAAAGATTAGTATAAGTTACAGACTGATCATACTATCTGTCTGTAGATACTTTTCATTATCGTAACAATTATTAACGTTATTTTAAAGCATTAAATAAAATAAATAAATTAAAGATTAAAGTTGCATAAGATTTGAGTAAAGTGTTATGAAAAATTATGACTACGACCGAAAATAAAAGTGAGTATAATAAACGTTGTTTGAAAATAAAATAGTAGGTTAAGCAAAGAAGAAATAACTTGATACACTCGGATAATGAGTTTACCGGAAGTTCATATTAATAATGAAACCGGAAGTCAAGTGTTTCATATAACTAGTCCACAGTAGAAATAATAAATAATAAGGGATAACAAACCAATGAATGAAATCTTGAAGGCCTCTTGTTGACATAGTTTTCAGATTTAATTGTGACATGATAATAATTTTTGCTTGTTCAGTGCAATTCGCAAGAAAATACGAATTCAAAGTGAATATTATAAATCAAGTATTTTGTTTACTGATAGAGTAATTAATATATTATTATTTAAAGTATGCAGAAAACATATTTGTTGGAAAAAAAACGATACTCTTTTATTAAAAATAGATATTTTTCATTTAAGCAATAGTTATAAATCACGGGTATTTACGCTGTATTAACTCTGCTGACCCCTCCTCCCCTTACTTAGGGTAGGCTCCGAGCTCCTCGGTGGGGACTTATAGCGGTGATGAACTCTGCGGACCAAATATCTGTACTAACAGTTTTGATAAAGAATCGATGAAAATTAAAAAAAAAATCATATTTGAATAACATTTGAACGAAATGGGTTATTTATTTCGTTGTCTGATAGGATTAATAAATCACCAATTTTAACTACATATAAAGATAACATTATATTATATGGCTCGGAAAACACAATCAAAACTGAAAAACTTTGTTTAAGGATTACTCTAATTCCTATACAAATGTAGATAGAAGACAAGCTGGTATAAAAATAACATCAAGAGACATAATTGAATCTCAGTTACATTCTTGTAAGATTTGAAAGACATGTCCAAGGGTTCAGAAGAGAGTGCTAACGAGTCGAAAGATCACAACTGTGATGAAGTAGCGGAACTAACTGGTAGATAATATAATTAAAAGTTAATTGTTTGTAAATTTAATTTGGTTGCATTAACATCATATAACCTGGTTGCCCGCTTTTCTAAGATAAGGGGGCAAACCAGCGTAGAGAACAACAAGGGGATTATAATCAATTACTGGATCTGACCTCTCTCTGCAACACCATATTAAGCCGATTCGAGCTGCTCATCGTCGTATGAGGATAAATAGAAGAAGCTGATATTACCTCACGCCTAGACTTGTGAGCAGTTTTTCATGTGGGAACGAAATCGAGCTATTTTTTAACTACAGGCGGTAGCCCGGCCGAATATACTATTACTCTCTTTGGATGAAAAGTTGCGCCTTTTCTTCCAACTGACCGCAAAGGCCTCTGAGAGTATTCTCGAAGTAAAGCAACCTCGAAAGGATCTTTTTTGTCGCTATTGTCTTTATAACAATGAATGTAGTATCGTAGCAAGGAACAAGGCTGACGCCAATACCCAATCGTGTTGAACACCAGCATAATTGTTTTGGAATCCGACCATGCAAGATTGATAACGATCTTGATGTTCAGAATCTTTAAAAAGCTGGTAATCAGTTCGCAAAGTAAATAGGAAGCAATTTCGCAAGAAGTCTTTTGGGCGACACACGGGCAAAGATCTTTGTCACGTTTACTAAACGTCAGATATTGCCTCTTGCCATAGATTATTTTGGACCATGGATGGATGAGAAGATCACCTGCTGGGTCACCCTAAAGTAAAGCTCATATACTGGGAAGTGATGTTAGTTTTCATTCATTTTGAGTATAAGGAGATAATAGCAATCGGTCTGTTGTAGGACACATCCAAGATTTACGTGGTATCAGGATGGTTATCGTCTAAGATCTCAGAACAACTCTTAAAGAAATCGAAAACTGAAACAAGCGTTTTAAAACCAATGTTAACTCAGGAGGGGATATCCTAAGCACTAGAACGTTAGTGTCAAATGTAGAAGGATAATTTCCACTTTACAAGCTTAATTTTCAGGTCATGGACGATACCATCAGTTCTTGCTGGTCACTTGTTGCATCATCAGCAATGGCGTGGCGTTGGACATGTTCGGCTTCAGCCTCGTGGTGACAGCGGCCTCCTGCGACCTGCAGCTTGATATCACACAGATTGGAATACTGGCTTCAGCACCGTTTGCAGGTAAGTTAAGTTTATTGTGATCCTTAAAATTAATATTCAAGTATACACTGACTTTAAGAAATGGAGACAAGTAATACGTCGTATGATTTTCGACATTTCCGCCATGACTGTCGCAGTTGGTAGTTGGTCGCTACCAATCAGAATAGATTAGTTACACCGCCGTGTTACTACGAGTATACTAATATTATCTACGAGTATACTAATATTATAAAGAGGAAAGATTTGTATGTACTGATATAACTCAAAGACTACTGGGCCAATTTTCAAAATTTTTTCATCATTAGAAAGGTAATTTATCTGTGAGTGAAATAGGCTACATTTTTATCATATTTTAATTTAAAAATCGCGAGCTATAGCTAGTAGTAGATAAAATTAACAGATCAGTAGAAATATAGTGACATTTAAAATCTTAAAAAATTACATACATTAGTCGGAATTTTCATTGTCAGTTTTTTGTGTTAAATGCACAATATCACAGTATTAGTATTATTTTGTACGGATGCTATATTGTGGTTAAACAAACAAATTAGTTACCTACATGTTATCCTGACTATCAGGAGTTCTTTTCGCATTTCCGTGGGGTTACTACGCGGACACCTGCGGTAGGAGATGCGCGCTACTGCTGTCCACGAGCGTCGGCTTCACATTTTCTGCTCTAAGCAGCTTCGCGACCAACTGGCAGATGATGGTCGCATTCAAAATTATCGGATGCAGTTTGTAAGTATTTCCACAGCTTAGAGGATCTTAATTAAAAGCGAAATTGGTTGGAGTTTTACAAATGACAACTCACTCATAATTTGGTTAGCTGTTTAGTTCCCAGGCAGTCACAAATGAATTGATAGACTGAAGGATATGGTGATGTTCCACATTACCTAAAGACTGAAAAACTAAAGGAAAAAGCGTAAGCGGAAAAATTATAAATAATTTTTTACCGCTGACGTAGTCGCGGGCGATTGCTAGGTGAATAAGATTTTTTGGCCGACTTCACAAAAGAAGGAGGTACTCAATTCGTCTAAATGTTTTTTTTACATGTTATAAAGGTGTTTTAGCAGTAAAAGCGTTACTGTTAGGTTTACTAGTATTAGGTTACAGTTGCGATCGCGGTATTCCCTGCAATCTGCAATCTGTTAGGTATATATCTAACGCATGTTTTACAAACGTGAATCTATTCGAGATATGATAATTTATTTAAATATCTTTTAATGCTGATTGATACTGTAAATAGCTTATTTTAATGATAAATTTTAATCTTATTTCGTAAATCATTTGAAGTAAACCGTAAAATAGTGCTAAAGCATGATAGATAAAATATAAATAATAATACAAAATCGAGCTCAATAAACAAAGACTAATCAATAATAAAAAATAGAATAGACATCCGCGTTTGATATGATTTTATGACTAGTGAATTATTGTCACCCTTACTTAGGGTAGGCACCGAGCCTCAGTCGTACAAAAAGATTGTCATCGCCAGCTTTTGATTTTGCTAGGGGTTAAACGAGAGAGAGAGTGGTAAAAATGTTTTATTTTTCATTTCAAATAGAATGAAAATTTCAATTATAATCTTATTGAAGTTTCTGAGTTACATGGAGTATATTTTAAGGCATAGTTCCAATATTTCTTGTATAATTTTCGATTCTGTAGTAGGAGGTGGGGCTGGTAGCCTCTCTCCTTGCCCACCTTATCGACGATATCTTTAACTCCTGTCCAATTTACAAATAATGACAAGATATCCTCGAGATCCTTTCTAAAGCATCACTTGTAGTTACTTTTAATTCAACAGTTCATCATCTTCCTTAACCTTGGTGATGACGTACTTGGGGGAGAACATTGGCCGCGCGCATCGTAGCAGATATCTCTTCATCATGAACAGCATGAATTTGGCATCAGAGATCGTGTCATTCGGTTTGTAGACATAGTTACGAACCCATACCACATACGATTACTTCCACTTCAAGCATGTCTTCTGTGTGCTCCTGATTTTTCAGTAATAATTTTATACATAGAAAGATTTGTACTTTTGTATGTATTGAAATAACTCAAAAACCACTGGGCCGATACTAAAAATTCTTTCACCATTAAAAAGCTATGTTATCAGTGAGTAATATATGCTACATTTTTTATTTTTGATTTCACGGTGACGAAGTCGCGCTCAACAACTAGTTTGTTATAAGGTGACAAACTGGCATCCATCACGTCCATTCATCAGACAAAAGGTGGAATTACGTCCACTGGACTGCTGTTTATGATGTGGTCCTGTAATTTGAGTTCACTTCCAGGTCTTGCACTATTCATCTTGCCACTAACCTTCAGCTGGCCAGTACCATGGCTCTCAATAACCTTGCGTGCGTGGAGGTTGTTTACACTAGTTATTGCTGTTCCCCTCGGAGTTGGTGCAGTGTTACTGTGTTACCTGTATGAAAGTCCAACATTTCTTGCCAATAAGGGTGAAACTGAAGAGGCTATAAGAGTGTTGCGGAAAATTTTCGTGTTCAACGGTGGAAACGAAATAGAGTTTACGGTATTTTTTAACACATATTCAATAATGTTTCAACATTTCTAGAAATCTGTTTTAATATTTTTTTTTACCAAATTAAATATTTAGTTAGGGCTTAGTTTGGTTGGTTAGTTTTGCAACAAATTTGTAAAAATGTTTGCAAATGTAAGAATTATCCAGTTTCAAAAGATTAATTTACTAGTTTAGGACATAAACTTTGCGCCTGTAGAAAACAAATAGCAATTTCCATTTGAGTCATTTTTCAGATTGGACACCTAAAACAACCTGAGGCAGTAAAATCCAAAGAGAAATCAATCTGGGAATCATTAAATAAGCAAACTGTGCCTTTGTACCGACCTCCATTGCTATGGAGAACTTTACAGTTGTTCTATCTACTGATTATTTGTTGTACAACGTAAGTTACTATTACAATTAAAAGTGGAAAATTATGATAACAGGCTCAAAATAACCTTTCTTTACAGGAATAATGTATTTCTGATGTGGTTTCCGACAATGGTGAATTTGTTCTTCAATTCAGTGTCCGGTACCTCTGCGGATATAGGATTCTGTGAAGCCGTTGTCCAAAATATTACGATTGATAACAATGCAGAAAACGTTAGTATATAAATTGTTATTACGTAAAAATTATTCGCCTTCAATTTTTGTTACCAGTGCCATCTAGTAGCAAATAGCAAACACTAGTTATTCGAACAGTGATCTCAAACTATTTACGTCTAACATTAATTAAACATATATTCTTAAAGAGACTTTCCATACTAGAGAAATAAATAATAATGCAACTTTTCTATATAAAGCGTATCTTACATTCAAAATTAACAACAATCAATAATTATTTTTTGAGTCTCTTGCTCCACTAGGACTCCAGCGCTCACAAGATGGCGTTGTTACACATTTTGGGAAATACTAGTTTTATTGTTATTTGTTAAAAGTAGTATTTTGCATGAAATAACGTATTTTTTTTTTATTTCAGTATGTTTGCGACGATTCTATATCTTTGATGACGATCTATTCCGGGCTTGCTCTTGGATTTTTCTTCACTATTATCAATCTTTTGGCATCGCAGTTGGCTTCATCGAGACGTTTAGTGTTGATCTGTTGCTACTTGGTGGCAGCACTGAGCTGTATTTTCGTTGGCTTGTTGACAGAACCTGTTGCTACAATGATATTCTTTATTCTGATACAAATAACAGCTATCGGTATTGGTTCTGTATCATCATATTTCGTAGACTTGTATCCTACATCGAATAGGTTTGTATATAGTTTTTGTAACCGTTTCTATATTCTACAAGTTGATCAAAGAGTCGATCTGTTTAAACATTCTTGTACAGCAATAATAATCAATTTTTTAGGAACAAAAAGTAATTAAACCTCAACATAGAAATATTACCTGTATCCAGATGGTTGAATGGATGTTTGTGAGAAGGTATTTCCAGAACAGCTGAACGGACCTTAATGAAATTTAGCACAGATGTAGAACATAGTTTGGAAGACCTAATAGGCTATTTTTTTAAATTTTACCAAGACTGTAATATATTGAAAACATAAAGCTTAATACTACTAATATGTCTTATTAAGTATTTGGTAAATTTCCATATCATTGTATAACTTTTCGCAGAGGTCTGGTGACGTGCCTCGCTATGATGGTGGCGCGGATGACGTCATTCACGGGTGTTAACCTTCTCGGCGCTGTCGTCGTTAGTAATTGCAACCTTCTCTTCTACAGCTGGGCGGTTTTCGTATTAAGTATGTATATTTTAACCATCGCCCTTTACTTAAACTTATCTTTAGAGTATTAAAGTACTTTAAAGTTTTTTAAAGTTAGATAACTTTAAACTGTCGTGGTTTTTTACAAATATAATGTTCGTAAGATACGGGTTCACGGGCTGTCGAAATATCGGGAGCTAAAACAATTCAATCGTGGTAAGAAACACGTATCTTACAAACATTTTTTAAAGTTTGTTAATGGTACATAGTTAGTATTCATTTGTCAAGGAATTTAATAAAACACATTATCTGTGTAGTTTATTTTAAGAAATAGACTAAGTTTTGTTTAATTCTAGTCGTATACTTATCTAGTTACTAATATTGAAATTCATTTTGTTAGGTAAATTAATTAGGTAATTAATTTGTTATGTTGATTGTATCATTAATAAGTAAAAACGGTTATAATTAACTGTTTGGTGCGAAGGTACATGGAGGTAAGGTGTTACTAGATGTGACATTTTTAAGCGATTCGTTCTTATTTAAAAATAATTTAAATAGTTGTTATATTTTGTCAACAGGTGGCGTTGTGGTTGCATTATGTCTACCGTCTGATAGAAATAAAGTTACCTAAATTTATTGTAAATAGAGAAGAATTTTATAATGAATGTAAGAATTTTTAAATCTAATAAATGTATGGTAATAAATGAATGCATTTTAAATATAATGTTTAATTTACAATTTAAATAGGAATGGTATTTAATATTGACAAAATCATAAATTATTAGTCAAATACTTACGTAAGTAAACAATTTATAATTATTATTTGTATTAATACGTAAAAAACGAATACATAATTTAAAAAAAATTAAATGACAATTTGTTCAGAGCAGACACTTCCAGTGACGTTTAACACAAGTAAGGTGGTTTTAAATTCGTAAGATGGCTTGTAACGCGTTGTGTTCGCTCGAGTTAGGACATGGATTCAGCAACAAAAGGCGATGATAAAGACAGCACAGGTGTTTATAATTATGACGACGCCGTCGAATTAACAGGTCAGTGTTACATCTTAATAATATTATAAATGCGAAAATTTAGATGGATGTTTATTAGTTTGTTGTGAAAACTGCTGAACGGATCTCGATGAAATTGGGCTTAAATGTAGAGGATAGTCTGGAAGAACATATAGGCTTCTTACTTGGGTTTTTTAATTCTATCTGGAATTGTGGACGTAAGGTAGTATAACGAATGAAAGTATTTTTTTGTTTTTTTATAAAATGTAAATTATTTTATAGTAATTTTATTAATTAATCAGATATAAACATAACCTCAAAACGTTTAATCTAAAATTCCGTTGTTTGTACATAGCGTATGTTACTTAACCAGTTTTTGTAAATCTTGTTTTGAAATCTGGTTTTTGTTTGATTCTACTATGTCTATTGACATAGGACGTAGTTTATCGCAAACATTTAATTGGCGTTAATATGAAATTAATTTATATCTAATATGTTCACTAAAGATTTCAATCGTTTCAACTCTTCTGTAGATTACGTTGCTTCTTTGTCTATTCTTCATAGACAAGTACTTATAGTAGACCAAAGATATTATTAGGTTGTTCGAAAAGTCATTTCGTATTTTTTTGGGGAACATGAAAGACATTTTATGAACATAACATAAAGACATGGCATAAACAGTCGAATTCGACAAATTTAATCTCTCCGATCTCTCGTGTGGTTATTCGTCGATTTGCATCAACTAATGCTTTAACGCATCTTTGTCAGCTTCGACCAGCCTTCAAGACCGTGGTGCATCTTCGACATCAAAATTGTCGGATCGAAATTTTGCAAACCAGTTCTGGCACTGGTGTACTGTTAACACGCCTTCACACACATCCGTCAATTTTTTTCTCGCTTGGACAGAATTTTTACCTTTTCTGAAGTAAAAAAGTAAAATATGACGAAAATGCTGCTTATTGCTCTCCATATTTAAAAGGTCACCAACCAAAAACTACTGTGTAGAATTAATAGAACTTTTTCACACACAAGCCTTGCAATATCAGCTCTCAAGACATATAATAGTTATGCGGCTTAAGTGTGAAGTTAGTTTCGAAAAAACGTAATTAAGTCCTCTGACGGAAAAAAACGAAATTACTTTCCCAACAACTCAATACAATTACTACCTTGTAATAGACGTAACAATTTCAGTGTTACCTTTTAAAATAATTTACATAATAATAGAAGTTGTATATTTTTCTGCTACTTACCTATTGACAATGAATCTTCACTTCACACTGTTTATCTCAATGTCAGTAGCGATCGTCTTTTTTCTAGGTCACATTACTAATAAGGGCACAAATACGCAGACTGCATAAAACCGCCATACCCGAATACCAAGAATCTTTATCTGGAGAAAGTAACGGTCTTAGTAATATAGTCATCACAATTGTATTTATATTGTCATCCCATTTCATTTCTTTGGCAAAATCGAGAATACTATATGTTAAACAAGTTATTCCATTATCGAATTTTACCCTAATGTGTCTTAATCTTTTATAGGCCATGGCCGCTACAACTACCTCGTCCTGTTCACGTGTTGCATCATCCACCACGCGGTGGCTTTGGACATGTTCGGCTTCAGTATGGTCCTCGCTGCTGCCACATGTGACCTGAACCTTGGCATCACGGAGACGGGGATACTCGCTTCAGCACCGTTTGCAGGTGAACTTTTTACAATCAATACAAGTTTTTTACAGATGTAAGAACCCTAGAAGTAGAAGAATCTGTCCTTATATTAGTTACGTTCGTCAGGGTCAGGGCAAGTGCACGGGGAAGGAAAATGTTTAAAAATCGTATGTAATGTTGAAGGTAGTGTACGCAGGGGAGATAAAATTATACTTCATGTTTAATAATAAAAGAAATCATACAATTAAACTAGGGAATAAAAAATCAATAAATTATTCAAAAACAAACTAGATATAATAATGTGCAAAAAGTTGGAGCAAACCTTGGAGTTTTTATAACAGTTTTATAATGGGTAAATTATTTAAAAAAAAGGTATGACCTTGGATAAGACCTCATCGTAGTTACACAAATGATTATATGAGTTACATTTTAGGTGTTTTCTTCGCCTTTCCATTCGGCTATTACGCTGATACCGGCGGCAGAAGAAGAGCACTGCTGCTGTCCACAACCGTCGGTTTTACCTTCGCAGCTCTCAGCAGCTTCTCTACCAACTGGCAGATGATGCTCGCCTTCAAATTTATTGGATGCAGTTTGTAAGTGTTCAATTTTTTGTAGATAAGCATTAATGTGCCATCGTAAGCTTGTACTATTTCAGTCAATCTTTTGCCCATATACCGTATTCTTAATAATTTTTATAAGCTAAACATCTTATTAAAATTTGAAATTATATCTGTTATATGTACTTCAGTTCCTTGTACTTCTGAACCGTTTTAATAATTATTTATAAATGACTTAATTATTGTTCTAAATATGTGTCAGTTCCACAGCCTCATTTGCGTTAACCATGGCATACCTCGGAGAGTGTGTCGACAGCAAGCATCGGAGTAGATACCTTATAATCATGGTCAGCATGGACCTTGCCTGTGAGATTGTGTCAAATGGTACGTTTAGATTTATACTAAATTTAGCCCGATCAAGTAATCTTGAATTGGTAACTAAGATATTGTTTTGATTTTCCAATTGAAAAACGTGATCTACTCCTTAACTAACGACAAATTTTTGAAATACGCCTCATACAAAGTAATTGAATTAATATTTAAGATCGATTACTTGGTTACGTTATGTTAAGATGGATGTGTGGGGTAACACGAATGGATAAGATACGAAATGAGTATATTAGAGGAAGTTTGAGAGTAGCCCCCATAGTAGAGAAGGTTAGGAGTAAAAGGTTAGCATGGTATGGGCATGTTATGAGGAGGGATGAATCGCATGTTACAAGGAGAACGTTAGTTATGAGTGTGGAAGGGTACATCGGTAGAGGTAGACCTAGAAAGAGATGGATGGATTGTGTAAAAGGTGACATGATCAAAAAGGGAGTGATGACTGAGATGACGTATGATAGAGTTATGTGGAGGACAAAAACCTGTTGCGCCGACCCTACGGGAGTAGGATAAGGAGATGATGATGATGATGATGATGATTACTTGGTTACGTTCATAGTTTCCATCGTCATCAGTACGAACTTCTCATCTCATCAAAGAATTGGCGAAACAGTGGTTTTAAGTTTCAAGGATTTTCAATGTAACAAGTTATAGTGATAAATATGTTGTTTCATTTTTCAGGTATCGCGTACTTTGTCTTACCGCTAACACTTCACTGGCCAATACCCTGGCTTTTTATAACGTATCGTTCTTGGAGGTTATACACCTTGATATTAGCTCTGCCTCTCGGAATTGGTGCTTTACTCCTCCTATGTGTATTCGAGAGTCCGAAATTCCTAGCTAATAAAGGAGAAACTAAAGAAGCATTGAGATTATTGCGAAGAATTTATGTCATCAACGGTGGGAACGAGGACAAATTTCCGGTATTGTATTGTTTATTATTTGCTAAAAGTAACTATACAAAAGTAGAGGAAGGAACGTGAACTTAGATGCGACACTTATTGAATATTCTCTGTCGTCCCTAAAATGCAGGATGGTGATTCAAAAAGTTGACTAAAAAGGTTTTCTTCAATCGTATATGGCGAGAAATAATAGGCGAGTTACAAGATAATGAGAAGTCAAAGTCTGACGCCAATGAAAAACCACACTTCATATTAGAATTAGTATACAAATCAAGTAATTATGACAGATAAAATCTATGCAAAATAATTTTCGTGCAGTAAAATATACGTGGGTTACAAAACCCACTGTTATTAAGCTATATTTATTTGCTTATTGTAAAATTGTTGCAGGTGAAACAAATTAAACAACCGGAAGAAATTAACAGCGAAACTGACTCAATTTGGTTGTCTTTAAAAAAACAAACTGTACCGTTATTTAAACCTCCATTGCTATGGAGAACTTTACAATTGTTTTATCTAATAATTTTATGTTCTACAACGTAAGTAATTGTAATAATTACTAAATACTAATATTATAAATGCGAAAGTTTAGATGGATGGATGTTTGTCAGAGTTTGTAGCCTAAACGGCTAATCGGATTCCGATGAAATTTGGTACAGCTGTAGAGGATATAGTCTGGAAGAACGTGTAAATTACTCACTTTTGTTTTTTTAAATTCCACGCGTACGGAGTCGCGGGAGAAAGCGTATTTGTTAACCAGGTATTTATTTTATATTTTCTCGTATCTTTCCAGAAATAACGTGTTCGCGATGTGGTTTCCTACCATGGTTAATTTATTTTTTAACTCTATATCTGACTCCTCTTCGAAGTCTGGTTTTTGTGAAGGCGTCGTACAGAACGTCACTACAGGGACACATATCGATAACGTTGGTATTAATTCAAGTACTTAGAACGCGCGCACACCTCTGACTGAATTATCACACAACTGTTGTGCGATTGTCGATTGTTTCGCAGCCAATTCAACTGTTTAGTTGCACAACTAAAAAACATATAAGCTCATGAATCAAAGCCCAAACATTGGGCGATAGTTTCGTCAAAGATGTGCGCTCTCTTAACATAACTTTTATCAAATCCGTGATCAAAAAATCCTTATCTTATCACTTAGTATGTAACTTAATAGGCAGGGGACCACATTACATGTAGGGTATTGGGGAAGGCATGTCTCCAACAATATGTAAGGCTGATGAAATTTATTGACATTGTTTTTTTAATATTTTTTTTCTTTTCAGTTCGACTGTGATGATTTCGTATCCTCCAATACAATCTATTCTGGTATCGTACTTGGACTTATAATATCTTCTTTGAATCTGGCTGTCTCTACCCTGGCTTCTTGGAGACGTTTGGTCTTAATCGGCAGTTATATAGTGTCAGGGATCAGCTGTGTGTTAGTTAGTTTGCTATCATATCCTATAGCTAATATAACATTCTTCATATTGATTCAAACGTCCGCTGTTGGTGTTGGAAGTGTTGCATCATTCTTCGTGGATTTATATCCTACTTCTTACAGGTTTGTTAATACATATTCTATGATCTATACTAATGTTATAAATTGGAAAGATTTGTATTTTTGTGTAATTATCTGCTGAAATAACTCAAAGCCACTGGGCCGATTTTAAAAATTCTTTCACTATTAAAGAGCTACGTTATCGCAGAGTAACATAAGGTATATTTTTACTTCATATGTATAATAGGTTATAATTTCACGTGGACAAAGTCGGGAGCAACAGATAGTATAACATAAAACAATCTCCAGAACGACTTGACCGATTTTGATAGTAGCTGATGCACGCACTTTGTTTTTAAAATTTGCACTGACAAAGTTGCGGGTGCCCGTGTTAAATATAATACTGCATGTAAGAGCCTGGAACTAAACTATCGCACAACTGTTTAGTCTTCCTTTGATTCTTAATAGCTTATATGGACGTGCGCATACTACTCGATTTTTAGTTATGAACTAAACGGTTGAATTGTCTGCAAAATAATCGACAATCGCACAATAGTTGTGCGATAGATTAGGCAAAATTGTTTGAGAGTAGGCAGTCGAATGAATTTTGCATCGCCGTTTGATTAAAAAACTATTTAACATAATTTCTTGGTGGATTTTAAGGGTTGAATTTTGGTTTTACCGGTTAGTAATACTGTACAATGTTCCAGAGGCCTGGTGACGAGTCTCGGTATGATGATGACTCGGCTGGCTTCCTTCGCAGGTGTGAACGTCCTAGGCGTGGTATTCGTTGAACACTGCAACTTGATCTTCTATTGTTGGTCTCTTTTCATTTTAAGTAAGTTTATTCTTCTCATTTTTAACATATAAACGCGAATGTTTAGATGGATGCATGTTAGAAAACATCCCCGGAACTGTAGAACATGGTCAGTAAGCCCACACAGATTACTTACTGAGATTTTTAAAAATTATTCAACAATATTGCTTGTTGAGCAAAATTTTTTTTAATTAGTAGAATTTTGACTAATTTTTTTTAGACATAGATTTGTTTTGATTATAGTCCGTTCTATTATTAACTTTGTTTTTCAATGTATTATAAAAAATAATGTTTTTTTTACCAGGTGGCGTAGCGGTAGCTCTATTCTTGCCATCTGATAGAAGAAAATGATATAAAATAAATATTTTAAAACAGAAAACAGCGTTTAATTTACTAAATCTTTACTTGCAAAAATACCATAAGAATAATGTCAGAACAGGAAAAGTCTTTTGCCAAACGTCTATAGAATTTAGTCGCTGTATAGGAAGATCATTGGACAAAGGTGAAATACAATACTTTTGTTTACTTCTAGTGGCCCAACAAAGAGCGAATAAGTTGATGGGAGCGTAACATTTTTTTTTTATAACCTAAGATGGCAAACGAGCAAGCGGCCACCTGAATCCGCCAAAATGGCGAAGCGACCGCTGCCCATAGACATCTGCAATTGCAGATGCGTCGCCTACCCTTATCCGACGGAATAGGAGACGCACATAAAGAGGATATTTCCTCTTCCTACGCATCTCCTCCATCGTCAAATCCACTTCCCCTTCCCATCCTCTCCTAAGAAAAGGGTGGTAAAGAGAAAGGGACTTAAATTAGGCCTCCGGAACCACACATCAGACGAAACACGGAATTACTTCCACATCACGCCTGTCTTCTGTGTGGTCGTGGTATTACACCGGGCGTGCCTGCCCATTCGTGCTAAAATGTTAAAGCGGGCACTACCACTGTTAAAATTTTATTGTAACAGTTGTATCTATCTTTCGCCCACGACTCCCTGCGCGTGGGATTAAAAAACAAAAGCAAGTTGCCTACGTGTTCTTTCAGACTTTTAATTAAATCTGTGCCAAGTTTCATTGAGATCCATTCAAAAGTTTGGGATACATACTATAGCAAACATCCGTTCATCTTATCTTAATTATAATATTAGCGAAAAGTATGATTTGGATTACAATTTTTTATCTTCCGTTTTTCTCTGATAACCTTTGTGTTACAAACGTGAGTCGTAAGGATACGTATAAGTTTTTGCATAACTAATTAGTTATATTTAAAATTCTTAACAAATACGACCGTCTGGCCGTTAATTCCCATTGAATTGTAATTTGTAAGCTGACATGTTCTTTTTACAATAAGAATTTAAGAATAAATAATGATTTTTACACATTGCTGTTTTTTTTTCATTAAATACATTGTTTAAGGATTAAGGACAAGGTTTTTTTTTTCCTTTTTTCGTATCTGATAGTTTCACCATTAGAATATATCAACATATTTTTTTAATGTCCTCACATAATGAATTAGTTCTGCAAACAATAAGAATAACTATGTCCAACATTCCATGTACAGTAATAATTTTAGTAACGCCATCTAGTGAGTAAAAGATATTTAAATCAAGTTTCACACTAGCGCCATTGTCGGTGGAGTTGTTAAAAAAATCTTTTTAAAGAAACTACGTAAACAAATGTGAAATTTAATTAATTTGGATAAAAAGTTCATAACACCATTTATAATGAAATAAATATCCAATATGATTTATCGTCAACTTTTTATTATTGCAAAATGCGTACACATTATTTGTAAGCGTGAGAATGTTTTCATAACTTCATGTGTGCAGCGCCCCTACCGGACGTAAAGTACACTAACGAATCTCAACATGTGACGACATTACGAATACGCGAGATCACGCAAATATTCGTGATAACATAGTGATCACATTGCGTCATTTATTTCGTAACATATTGTACTATATTAACACATTTTTACTACAACTATTGTAATTATTATTGATAATAATTGTAATTGTAATTATGACTTACATATTTGTTGTGATTATTGATGCTCGAGTGTCAAGGCTTAACGGAAATCCTAGTGAAGAGGACCTTAATAACTGCAACAATACACTGTCTTTATACAACGTGAATGCCATTGCTGGTCTACCGCCCTGGGCGATATTTATACATCGCTCTTCTTTTTTACCATGACTAGGGGATACGGTGGAGGGGATTTAAAATATTAGATGAGAGTAATTTGTGGTCTTTTCTGTCAGACGCCCTGGGTGGCGTTTGTCATTTGTTACATCCAGTTAAATATGTGATAGGGTGAATAGTCACTGCTAACGCCATAACATTTTTGTATTTAATCTAACAATTAGTTTAACAACCTTATTAAACTTATTTAAAACTGACTTTTTGGATGAAATATTAGCAGTAATTAATTTAATAATATTTCTTGTAACCAACCTGCAGTGGGCCAGCTTGGTTACCTCTTACTTAGTTCCGAGCCGAGTGGAGACGTACGGGGAGCTGATGATGATGGTTTCTTTTTTTTATAAGAGAAACAAACGAGCGGCGGGAACACGGAGGTGGTCAGTGACGCCCATGGACATCCACAACGCCAAAAGAACTACCGATGCGTTGCCGGCCTTTGAGGAAATTGTAGGCTCGCTTCTTGAAGGACCCTAAGTTGTCTTGGTTCTTGTCACCATTCCAAATTTCAAGAACCAAGGTCCAATGCTGGAGTTGGGTGACCACTTGGTTGGATAATTATCTTTAGGCATTTTGAGACATTTCTTTAAATAAGAAAGAATTTTGTTAATTTGCTATTTGAATAAAGACAACGCAACTATTTATAGAAACAATATTTGTTTTGAGCATACGTCTTACAATATATCAAAGTAAATACAGTTCTTATGTAAAGTAATTATTAAGATAACTTTTGTTATCAGTTTGATGTTTCAAATTTATGATACAACTAGCAAAAGACCGTGTCTTTGTTTGTATCGCGTTTATTCGTAATTTTTGATTCCTCGGGTGTTGCTGATATTCATATCGAATTACTTAGAATTAAACGATCATAAGCTCGTTTGTTTTCCCCCCCCCCCCCTCTCTTAATCATGGTAAAAAGGGCGGTGTTGAAATCTCGTCGAGTTCGTTAGTACAGCCAGAACTGCTACTGTTAGCCGCCATAAAGTTTTAATTTTCTGTAACGAAACTTTTAAATACAAACTTCGTAAAGTCACAGATTGATTTACAAGCAGTACGCAAAGTTTGTTCGTGTATTATGCTACTGGTGTTGTCGGTATGATGAGGCATTTTCATAATGCCGCATGTTCGTCGTGATGGAATCTACCACTGTTCTATATTGTTTAACATTATTAATTATGTTTAAATAGGGTAAATCCTCCAAATCTGATATAATTTTAATGTTTATAAGAATGTATTGCGTAAACGAATTGATTTGACTTTTTAAATTACTGAACAATAACGAAGTATGGAAATATGTTCGAACGCCATCTTTAAAGACTAGTAAAAAGATTCCAGTTTACCCCGAATTTTATTGACTCAGCTCCTTTATCGAAAGCGACGGCAAATCCAAAGTGTGAAAGGGTACATCGGTAGAGGTAGACATAGAAAGAGATGGATGGATTGCGTGAAAGGTGACATGATCAAAAAGGGAGTGATGACTGAGATAATGTATGGTCGAGTTATGTGGAGGACAAAAACTTCTTTTGTCGACCCTACAGGAGTAGGATAGGGAGAAAGATGACGATGACGGCGACGGCGCGGTCGCAGGGATAATGTGAAACCCTAAAACTTAAAATAAAGCGACAACCACGTCGTAAGACCTGCTAAGATGTGTAGATTCGAATCGGCAGTTAGACGAATGTGAATGGATAATATACAAAATGATTATATAAGAAGTCGCAAGTGTGAGATAGTGATATTGTCGTCACACAATAGATGAAAACTCATTTAATAAACATTTTTGTTTCATAAACCGTAGCGATGGAATTCGCAGACGATTTTGTTGCGATACATTTCTCGAGGAACTTCCGTCTTTTATAGCGTAAAACATTTTACATTGTACAATGATATTTCTAATAGTATGTAGGAAATGGTTTGACAAATATTGTAATATTTTGATATTTTATAACGTCAATGTTAGACTATTTAGTTATTATTACCAACTAGCTGTTCCCGTGCGACTTTATCCGCATGAAATTATGAAAATTTTATTTTATTGTTTACATTTGTCAAAATGACATGACATGACAAACCTTGGCAATCTTACTTTCTTAATGTTGGCAGCAACTTATGGTCTCTTTCCCACTTAAGGGTTTTTGTTCAAAATATATACCCCCTAAGTTTAATAGCGTGAAAATATATAGCCTAAAGCGTGACGTAAGTGTAGGGCTTTTTAATAAAAAAAAATATTTAAAAATATGCTGTAATTGCTGACATCTTAGGCAACAAAGAAATGTGTGTTTACACTTTATTATAATAGCATAGATGTAGATGCTGAAACCAACTAATCATAGATTTATAAGCTATGATTTTTTTCATATAAGTTCGTTTAAATAAAAAGCCTTTTTTGCCTAGTATGTTGCACACAACGCAGTTGTTCAAGCTATCTATATTATGCAGCTATTCCACTATCTAACATCGAAACAAAAACATATTCCCATCCCTTTAATTGCCTTATAAAATTAAGAAAAACATCAACAAAATTTAAATTCAAGTAAAAAATTTCCTTTGCACTAGGTACACATAGACTTGTTTTATTATTAGTAAAATAGTAAACAAGTCTCTAAGATATCTTTGATTTCTATAACTTATTAATAATGAAATAATGAGTTCTTTATTGAATGTTTGTGCAAAACAACAATTAATGTATGTGAGAATAAATGAGATGCGTTTTACAGGTATCTTGTTACGGCAATGTTTTCGATCTCGAAATTATACGTAAAGATACTAGGAGGTTATCTAGAATATTTGTTAAAATGTTGTCGTACTGTCTTCGATAGAATTTGTTTTTTTAATTTATGCAGTGTGAAATTTATACCGGTTTTTTTTACAATAAAAGGTGGCAAACGAGCAAGCGGCCACCTAAATCCACCGAAATGGAAAGCGACCGCTGCCCATAAACATCCGCAATTGCAGATGCGTTGCCTACCCTTCATTGACGGAAGAGGAGAGGCACATAAAGAGGAAATTTTACCTTTCTATACGTCTCCTCCACCGTCAAATCCATCCATTCATCCTTTCCTCTCAAGAAAAGGGTGGAAAGGGATTAAATTAGGCCTCCGGCACCACACTCATCAGACGAAACGCGGAATTGCTTCCACTTCACGAATGTTTTCTGTGTGGTCGTGGTATTATACCGGGCGAGCCGGCCCATTCGTGCGAAGATGTTAAAGCGGGCACTGCCACTGTTAAAAAAAAGGTGTAAAGTAAATAAATGAATTTCATATGTTGTCGATGATGTTACAAATACGTTTTCGCAAATTACGAATTCGTGATAGACCCCACAGAGGTGCAGCGTTAACACTAATTGGAGTCAAGCTTACTTGCGGAAAATAAACACAATGTAAGCTATTTACTTGCAGTGTAATTCTGATTCTAGGCCAAATAATAATTTAAATGTGTATTGTTCTTGGGATAATTTATTTTATATTTCTATTAATCGCTTGTAGACACGGAATTTAATTTGGCACGTCGGATAGAACATTACTCTACTAACTGATGTGCCAACTTTAAGCCAGGTATATACAGGGTCGTACCAAAAAAAAATTGTAATCTTCAAATGCAGATAAAATAAAGAATTAATTATATTAATTTTAGTCACGAATTGAGTTGAATTTTATGAAGAATTCATTTCGACATTTATTTTTTACGTTATGAATCAGTTGTTTTAATAAACTGACATTACGAAAAAACGTGTCTGACGATTTATCACAATACCGAAAATAAAATGAAGACATTGTTAGCTGTTACAAGTTTGTTACTGTAGAATATATTTCCGTTATACATGTTTATAGAATACACAGATTTAATCTGAAACTTGTAATAATAATAAAATTCACATATGCTGCATCTGACATTCTAAAAACTGTTCATAACCTGATTATTTAGACGAAACCACTTAGCATATTTTTATTGATATCGAACATAAAATTTGCGATACTATACTCGAGACTGCATATATTACAAACTAGCTATTGCCCGCGACTTTGTCCACGAAATATTAACATAAAAAGTAGCCTATATGCCCGTCTAAGTCAGCTACCCTTCAGTGAAACAAACGCGGCCTGCGTACAGTCAGACAGACAAAAAACTTTTATATGAGAAATACATCATCTTCCCGAAAATTGGATTTTTTTTTATATTACAAACAGACACTCTAACTTTTAGTTGTCTTTTATGGTCGATAATCTTTACATACTTCTAGTTCTCTTATCGATATCTTAAATGCGATAATTGCCAGCTCTAGTAAATGCATAGTGCATTATAAATAGCGCAATACTTGGCGCGGCCCAGTAAGATCTCGTGCGTGCTCTTTGTAGGTGAAATTCAATAAAACATTATCAAATACTAAAAGAAATAAAGTGATAAAGTGAAATGGGTGCGACAAAGATAGAAAAAATTACATTCGATGAAGCTCTAACTATGACAGGTATCATTTTTTTGTGTTAAAAACAAATCATCTGTCAGTGCAGAGTTGAAATTTAAAACACACAAATTACTTAGAAATTCTAAGATGCTTATAAACCATCACACAGATAACGCAAAAATTGTCGAAGTTCCATTTAAAATTGGACCAAAATATTTTCTTGTTTTTTTCCAAAGCGCTCTCCTCTTTTCTCTAAACTATTGTCTGACGCTTGACTTTGTGTATGAATTCCTTCGATATACAATGCCTACAATACTTGCTTAGGTAAATTACGGAAAGGGCGGAAATCTCAATTTGCGTGTGACGTATAAGAAAGCAGACAAATTAGTGTGATTTTCTAGATACTGCGATCTTTTAGAAGCTGACGATTCACTTTCTAGGTTAAGAGAAACAATTAATATATTCGATCCATCGTTATGTATGGAATTGTCATTATCCAACATTTTTCAATATTAAATTGTAGACTTAAAAACTATTTAACTACGTCGTAGTCTTTGACTCCAAAAATCAACCAAAAAAATGGGACCCACCTGCAAGCAATACCTTTCGGATAAAAAAAGAATTATCAAAATCGGTCCACTAGCGGCGGAGTTATGCCGTAACACACATAAAAAAAAAAAAAAAACATACAGACGAATTGAGTACCTCCTTATTTTGGGAAGTCGGTCAAAAAACTAAATAGATAATTTATTTGGATATATTATTGTATAAAATAACTGTTTCTTCGTTATTATTTGGCATATCAAATTATTTTCAATTAGATTTTAAATCTTTCTAACATAACTTTAATATTTCCTTTATTTGGAGCGCAATTAATAAATGCAGTCGATGCAGAATTGAAGCAATTAGTTTCAATTGATTGCGAGAAAAAACGTCTAAACATCTCATGAAGACAATTGAGAACATTTGTCGTGACATTAGCGATGTCTTGAAAACGCGTTACTCTGTCGACGATTTTTTTAAATCCAATTATTAGTACACTATAGTTAAAACACAAGTGTCACTCAGCTACAGCTGTAGCTTTATTGTTGATTTAGTATTTTAAATTTAAATTAAGGGACTGTCTTAGCCGTCTACTAGCTTTCGCCCGCTACTCCGTCCGCGTGGAATTGACAAAAAGAAAAGCGAATAGCCTATGTGTTCTTCCAGACTATCACCTACCTCTATGCCAATTATCATCGAAATTCGTTAAGCCGTTTAGGCTACAAACTCAAACAAACATCCATCCAAACTTTCACATTTATAATATTAGTAAGAAGTAAGATTAATAGTTTTAAGTAAGGTTAACTATGTAAACACGGAATGTCACTATAGTTACAACTTCATTCATAATTAGTGACGTTCATGTTTTGTTATCGATGTTCTTAAAACAGTACGCAGTTTTTTATGTCATTTTTTCTTATCGATATTTTAAATATTCTTAAGTTAACATCTCTATGATTCTGTCTATAAATTGTGTAACGATCTTAGCGCGGCCCAGTAAGATGACATTCGTGATAGTGTGATGGTGAATGTAATAGTTTGATAATAAATTGTGATAGATAAAGTTAGGTTACAAAATGGGGGTTAAGAAATTCGAAAACGTTCCATATGAAGATGCTCTTGATATGACTGGTGAGGATTTTTATAAATCTGCTACAAGTTATTTCTGTGTTATCCACTTATATGAATATAGATATGTGAATAAATCACGGTGTAAAAAACCTTCATCGGAAATAGATGTACTAACGTCGAAAGAAGCGTTTGTATACCTTCCGAATAAATAAACAGTTTAATTGTCCAGTTAAAACTAAAGATGTGTACTCATATTTTAAATAATAATAGTTAAATAACAAAGCTAAAAACTACTAAAAACGAATTCATTAAAATTAACTATATCTTTGACATATGGTAAAATGTTATATCTCGTTGAGAGTTTCAAAAGGGTTAAGATTGGTTTTGAGTGTATAACTTGATCTTTTCAGGCTTCGGTAAGTTTAACTACCTGATGCTGGCACTTGTGGGTAGCATCATCATGGGTATGGCGTATGAGATCTTCTCCGTGTCGTTCCTGGTGACAGCGAGTGCTTGTGAGCTGGACACCGTGAGTTCGCAGCAGGCCCTCATAGCCGGAACACCATTAGTAGGTAAGTACTATTCATGTATGTGTTTTTTGACCGACTTCCCGAAAGAAGGAGTTACTCAATTTGTCTGTATGCTTTTTTATATGAGTGGGCCGCTGTAACTTTTTGTCCTGGTAGACCTATTTGGATTTATTTTTTATACAGAGGTAGTGCTTGCAAGTGCCCGCTTTAACATCTTAGCACGAATGGGCCGGCACGCCCGGTGTAATACCACGACCACACAGAAGACAGGCGTGAAATGGAAGCAATTCCGTGTTTCGTCTGATGAGTGTGGTGCCGGAGGCCTAATTTTATTCCTATCTCTTTACCACTCTTTTCCTAAAGGAGAGGATGGGAAGGGGAAGTGGATTTGACGGAGGAGGAGATGCATAGGAAGCAGAAATATCCTTTTTATGTGCTTCTCCTCCTCTGTCAAATAACGGTAGGCAACGCATCTGCAATTGCGGATGTCTATGGGTAGAGATCGCTTCGCCATTTTGGCGGATTCAGGTGGCCGCTTGCTCGTTTGCCACCTTATGTTATGAAACAAAAAGTCGGTCCCATTTTTTTGTTTATATTTTGGAGTTAAAGATTACAGCGTAGTTAAATAGTTTATTATATAGATAAGAAACTGATTCCAGAATGTTATCCATTAGAGGAATCTTAGATGAACTGGTTATTTCGATTAACTTTCGTAGCTGGAATGAACTCATAAAAAAAATTCTGGAGGGTCTTTTGATCACAATCATTTAGAATCAACGACATCTAAATAGCAAATGATTGCAGTCTGATACTTTAATATATTATTACATAATTTAATATGATGTAATGGAATTAGAGAATTAAACAATACATAAAAATATTATAAAAACGAGATAAGAAAATAACTTGTTCATGATTATTTAACAACAGTTGTAAATAAAAAGTCGGGCGTAAAATAAACTCAGAAGACGAGATTAAATTATTTACAATGTCAAACGTAATATCAGAGTAACGTAAATATAAACATTTACTGAGTACTTATAGTTTTAGATTTAGAGCAGTAGTGTAACCTAGGAGCTGATAAATGTAAGTCTCAGTTCCCACTGTTATAAACTTGTATGAACACATGTTATCCCTGATTTTATAAGTGAACGACCACAATGATATGACTTCCACTTCATGCCTGTTTTCTGTATGGTCCTGATATTGCACCGAGCGAGCTGGTCCTACAATGCAAAGATGTCAAAGCCAGTTGTACCAATATTAAAATGTAAATCATCATAATCATCATCATCATCATCATCATCATCACCATCATCATCATCATCATCATCATCATCATCATCATCACCAGCTCACTATATGTCCCCACCGAGGGTCTCGATGCCTACCCTAATAAGGGAAATGTAAATAACAACTGAATATTTTTTTCTTAAATTTATCCATCACTTTGGGTTTCAGGTATCATAGCATCGTCACATTTCTGGGGCTACCTCGCAGACACCAAGGGTAGGCGGAAGATACTATGTTTTTCCCTGACACTGGGCTTCTGTGCTGGTTTCATCGCCACTTTCTCACCGAACTGGATCGTTTATATGCTTCTGAAGTTCGCTTCGTCTTGTGGGTGAGAATGACGTGTACTATTTGTAGAATAAAAAAATTACTACGAAAATTGGACAATCCGAAGTTATGCAGTAACAAAAAGTTGGATTTGACGGTAGAAGAGACGCATTATAAGGAATAATATCCTGTTTATATGTGTCTACCCCTTCGTCGATAAGGGTATACAACGCATCTGCAATTGCGAAGACCTATAGGCAGCGGGCGCTTCGCCATTTTTGCAGATTTAGGAGGTCGCTTGCTCGTTTGCAAAAAAAAGAGGCGAATTTAGAACCTACTTTTTTTAAGTTGTTAAGCTTCTTATCAGCCTTCTACTGCCTAATCTCACGTAGTGTTTAACTATTTACTACTGGTTACTCTTCAACTTGTCTCTTTTCGACAGGGTGGCGGGTACGTATGCGCTTGCGCTCACCCTGCTCGGAGAATGCACGCCGCACAGTCACCGGCCCAAGATGATCGCCTACACCACCAGCATCTTCCTCGTCTGCACCGGCTCTATGGCCAGTAAGTCTACTATAACATACAATTGTGGTGACATATGTAGCCAGCTGATACATGGTGACTATGCCTTAGTCAACAACCTTGGCCCAGGAATATCTTGGCTTCAAATTTTCGAATTTCTTTGCTGATATTTGCACGTTACGATTCTTCTTCTCCATATACCATAAACTTAGTTTTTAACAGTTGTAACTTTTTTCAGTTTTAACAATACCAGTTCTACCTCTCAAGTTCTCGTATTACATCCCGGTTCTGAACATCCACTTTAACTCCTGGCGGCTGCTGAACATCATCTACTGCATCCCATGTGCTTTGGGTGCACTTGGTATGCTCAGGTCATACGAGAGTCCTAAGTATCTGCTCAGTGTGGGAGAAGAGGAAAAGGCCCTGGAAATTCTGAGAGGAATACACACTATTAATAACGGGAAAGACGCTGAATTCAAGGTCAGTGGATATTCAAATTGTATTACAGAGGTACCAGGAATGTAGGCGTAATGACAACACGAGTCTCCATATAATTTAATTTTTAAGAATAAATCAAAGGTCATCGTACATTGGATCCACTTGTCACTGCTTTAATGCAGAGATCGATTGAATCGAACTTGATCAGTGATTTTCGCTATATATAATATGATTTACATAAGTATTCCTGACCTACATACAATACAATGTAAATATTTTACATACCTATCTTAAAAGGTATTTATTATCTTTTAAGATGTTAAACGATCTCTTTATAATAATTGCAATAACTAAATAGCCAGTATAGTTGCTACATTATCCACATAGAGGGCGTTAATATTATATTTCCGTTTTTAACTTTCCAGGTGATGTCAGTATCCTTAGACGAGGAGAGTACGAGGGAGATCGTGGTAGGTCTTTGGGCGTCTCTCAAATCGCAAACTACTCCGCTTCTCAAACCTCCGCTCTTGAAGAAAACTATATTACTGTCTTTATTGTTCGTTATTGTTTACTTTTGGTAAGATTTTGCTTTATTTAGATGTAGTTCTTTTTATACTAATACTAGCTTTCGCCCGCGACTCCGTTCGCGTGGGTTTTTAAAAAACGAAAGTGAGTAGCCTGTGTTCTTCCAGATTATCCTCTACATCTATACCAAATTTCATCGAAATCCGTTCAGCAGTTTACGCTACAAACTCTAACAAACATCCATCCATCTAAACTTTCACATTCATAATATTAGATGAAAGATTTGTATTTTTTATGTATTGAAATAACTCAAAAACTACTGGGGCGATTTCAAAAATTCTTTCACTATTAACAAGCTACGTTATCAGTGAATAACATAGGCTTCTTTTTTTATTTTACGCGGACGGAGTTGGGAGCAACAGCTAGTATCTTATACAGAAGTAACTTATTGCCTGTGTCCAGTTTTCTTGCGTCTTGATTGATCTTATGAATTTGAATATGAAATTCATAGATATTAAAAATATACAATTGTAATTTTAAATCTGTTCTACAATTTTAGTATGTTACTTTTTTCAGTTTAAACCCGTACATGGTATGGTTACCGTTCATATCTGATGGCATCATGCGTGCTATGGAGCGTGGAGACGAAAATATCACCTTCTGTCAGATGCTGCAGACCTCACTCGATGTTACTAAGACCAATGTAAGTATCAGTATCGCCTTGTCTGGGAATAAAAGCTGATAATTTCGAAAATTATTTTTTATTACTAGTTTAACACTAACTAAATTCTCGTGAACATAAATCTGTTTTTTTATTTTTTATTATACACTAGCTGTTCCCGTGCGACTTTATCCGCATGAAATTGTGAAAATTTTATTTAATAGTTTACATTTGTGAAATTATCAATTACATATGTCAAAATGACATGACATGACAAACCTTGACAGTCTTACTTCCTTGATGTTGGCAGCAACTTTGGTCTCTTTCCCACATTGGGGTTTTTACTCAAAATATTTACCCCCTAAGATTAATGGCGTGAAAATAGCCTAAAGCGTGACGTAAGTGTAGGGCTTTTTATTTAAAAAAATGTTCAAAAATATACTGTAATTGCTGACATCTTAGGTAACAAAGAAGTGTGTGTTTACGCTTTAATATAATAGTATAGATTTTTATTATTGTCATTTTAAATTTTTGGAAGTGTATTCATTTTATGTAGTTGTCATTTAAAATTCTAGTCATTTTTAATCAATTTAGTCATGTAGTAATTTTATAAAGCAAAACTGTGATATTAAAATAGAAAACTATAAATTAGCAATAAGAAAACTGTAAGATGTTGAAAGACAAAAAAAACAAAACCGACTTCCAAACAAAATACACCAAAAACAGAATATTCTCAAAAAAA